TCCCCCGTTTGCTGTCGCGTTCAGACTGTCTCTACGGATATCCCTGTCTCTGTGCGAGTTTGTTTATGTCCTCGTCTGTCTTTGGTTTATTTCGTTTTATTTTATTTATTTTTTTTGTTTATTGGCACGTACTGCTGACCCTTGGGGTCCTTCCGGAAGGCTAGCCCCCAGGCTGGTGGTGCACACGTTCCACTATTATTTATATGTTTGTTTCTGATTCTTTTGTTTTCTTGTATTTTATCGCTCTGCTAACCCTTGGGGTCCGTTTTATTTTGGTATACCTTTCTAGGTAATTTAGCCTGTGACCACGGAAATTGACCGAGTCAAGTGCTGGATTAGTACGGAGAGATTGAGCCAGAAGGAGGTACTGGATAGAGAGACCGGGATGGTTTTTAATGTGAAGACAACAACAACAACAACAGAGCGAATGTGAGAAACAACAACAACAAGCTGAGTTCTCTGTAACTACGTTAAGAAGGCGATCCCACCGAACGACGCGTTTCCGGACAGCTCTCAAAGAGAACTCCCAAATGCCGCAAATATGGGCACTTACATTGTGTTACCGGGCGTGTGCTCCAACGTGGTGGCACCTGTCATGCCAGAATGTGCGCAAATGAACAATGTCCTTCGCGCCAACAGCAGTAACACATCACGCATCACCAACTCTCTAGCGGAAGACCCTGAAGGCAGTATACACATGACGCTCGGCGAAAAAATCTTCAAGAGAGACAGAGAGACAGAGCGACAGAGAGAGACAGAGAGAGAGAGCGACAGAGAGAGAGAGAGCGACAGAGAGAGAGAGAGCGAGAGAGAGAGAGAGCAATTTCCAACCCAAGTTTGTACCTCTTCAACTAAAAAGAGTGCTGAGGGTCGAGAACAGCAGTAATTCTCAGCGAACGTCATGGTCATACGGCGGGCAGTCCGCAGAAAACGTCATCTTGCCGAGGAAGCCCTTAACCTCCTTCCGCGAGCAAACTCGAACCTTGCTGGTTGCCGAATATTAATTGGTTCAAGGGCAGAGAAAAAAACGCGCGCGAACGAGGTGGGCCCGCCAATGGGAGTTTGAATAGATGCGGGAGGACGTTGGCGCGGCTTCAGGTCAATGTTGCAAACGTCGGAGGGACGTCTGTCCGCATTTGATTTCGTAGTCGTCGCAACAAAAACTAAACAGTAACCTACGGCGGTTGCGTGTGATTGGTCAGGTGTTGGCTAAAGGTTTTACTACCAGGTCAGACTATTCCAAGCCGCAAAACACGTGAGGAACTGTCCACGGCATAGAGGCGAATTACGTGCTCGAGTCCAGCACCACAGACTAATCATTTCGCGTCCGAATCAAACTTACGACGTGCGCTCAAAGAGTCACACGTGGCAAGACCCATGAGCAGAAGAAATGACTGGTCGGCAAGCGATAGTCGGGCGTGTTGCATGACTGTCCAATGTTGCTTCGAACAAGCGAGAAGTGAAGCAAATAATCCCAGCAACGGCTGCCTGCCTCTGGGAACGATATTTTCATTTCGATTGCCGGCACAGGGAGGTTGTCATGCTCGATGCGGAACTATGCCACCCCTGCACTGCTCGATTCAACGAAGCTCCCCATGCTGGAGCAATCGGATCAACGACATTGGTGTCAAGCCAATTGGGGTACATGATGTCCCATTAGCAGCAGTTGATGGTTGATGGGTGTGAGAAATTCGAGGAAGTACCATAGAAACGCGGACCACCATGAATCCAGGACAAGCACGTTTGATAAGGAATGCAGAATCGTTGCATCATGATAAATACTCGAGCGGTGGTTTTCAAATTATTCTGGAAGGCACAGAATGATAAACGCACAAGGAGGGAGTCGAGGCACAAATTTTCTGTGTATAAAAAGAACAAACTACGCTTTGCCTGCCTTCTACACGACACTTTCCACGTCCTGACGTTGGTACACATGGCAAAAAAACGAAACCTGCCACCAGCGCTTACCCAGTCTGCTTGGAAGCTATGACAATCTCCACGTTTCTGTCCGTGAGAGCGGGGGCTCCTTTACCAGACGACGCCTGGGGCCGAGGAGGGAGCGAAAACAGGTCGTTCGCGTCAGACCAGTATGAATACCAAGGTCTGTCTCCACTTCTATGTTGATGGGACCGTTTTCGATGTACAAACACCAACAGACCACCGACCACGATCATCACACCAACAACAAACGTTGCCGGAACAAACGCCTCCAAATCCTGTGATCGAGCCGAGGGGCACCTAACAGCTTGGTGAAAAGCATTTCCACAGAGCAACCTCGGAGGTAGGGGGGGAGGGCGTACTCATAGTCGTGCATGCCGTGGTCGTTAGACCATTGCCCTCGCATCCCTACAAAGCCGGGACGGAGCACGCCGGGTTTTCACCGGACCAGGCTCTCACATCACCAAGCGCGAAGCGCCGTGAGGTATTCGGCGAATTGCATGAAGGCTGCCCTGCATCCTGGTGAGGGTGTTCGGCATCTTGTGCTTACTTCCTTTCGTACGGATGACAGCTGCGTATGACTTGATTTATTTTCTGGTGCTTTCATTTCCAGGGACAGTTGTAAGCATTGTGTAACTGCCTCGAGGGTGCTTGACCATTTTAACACAACGTGGTGCGATTATCCCCTTTGCGCGGAGTGAGGCGTCTCCACCCCGCACAACATGATCCACTCGACCACCATTATGGTTACCGCCAAAAAAAATAAACAGGCAAAAAAAAAGCGGTAACCTGGTTGCCAACCTCACGAAGTGATGGGTTTGATTTACAACATCGCTGCCAAGCGACGAAAACCCTACCCAGATGGCAAACCTCGAAGGGGGGCGCAAGAAAACGCCGCCCCGTGCTCTTAACATTTTAGTGGTGCGCTGGTAGGGGTTTTGTTCGCGGTTGGGGGTTGTCATGAAAAATGGGGGATGAGGGTGATATGGGGGCATTACAGTAAGTCGCTCAGACGTCGTGATATTGTACTACTGATACTCGAAAACCATTTTGTCAAACGATGCAGTGCTAGTTGGACTGAAACGCAAGTTCAAAAATCTTGCCTTCGTGATGTACGATACGTGTGAGATTTTTCAAAAACGCGAAACCACGCTGGTGAATGCCAGGTCGTTGCTTTGCCCTTAGTCGCACCCGCGTCTTACTCCTGTGGCAGCCAGAATGTGAATTTACAACGAAACAAGGTTCTATGTTCATTCCGTGACGCCGAAATTCGAAACAACCGTAGTTGAGCAACCACAACGTAACTTTCGCCTAGCACCCTGGGGAGTTCAAACACTCTTAGGCAGTATTTACGCCCATATTTCCAGGGTTCCAGGGTATCCCCATCCCATGGCACAGACTATATCCCTACGCGTGAACCTGGATCCCTTTTGGGACGCTTTTGCTCATTATCGTCCGTAGCCTCAGACAGCCTTTCCTCAACGGAGCGTAGATGTTTTTTATCCTGCCGGGATCGGGTGCTACAAAACTGGACGACAACTCCCCGATGTCACCGTGATCACGGGCTCCTTCGTTGTGCGCATTTGTGCTGCGGTTTCGTTACGCATGGGGGACACATGCTTACAATTGTTACGATGAAGGAAGCCATCGATGCTCTGCTGGACTTTAAGCAAACATGCACATACACATTAAAACCCCACCTTGGACAAAGCTTGTAACGCCAGCTCCACTGTCTCCATCTCCCCCACCACCCCGAACCCGGTCCCAATCTCCCCGCCGTCCACCGGGGTACTTTCATCTGGGGGCTCTCTCATCTTCCCCCCTGCCTCACTCCCTCGTCTCCTGTGAGTCTCTTCATCTGGCCCTTGGACGTCAACATTGTCGGCGTCAACATCGTCAGCGGAAATTTCATTCCCTTCACGGCCCCCGACGATTTCATGAGCGGGTGCATCGCTTGTCGTATGACCTTGGCCATCATCGCCTTTCTTCTCAACATTCGTCACTGACGTTTTAGGGACACCTGGAAAATAATCTTTGTCTTGAGTGCGGTGCTCGTCGCCCCCCCCTGACGATGTGGAGTCTTGTCTGCTGTTCCCTCTCCCGTCCCTGGTTGCCCCAGCTTTCAGGGCCTCCTCTAAGAAATCCGAGGAGGCTGCGCTGCCGCGGCCTGCAGCGGTGCCCTGCGTGAATATAGCACCGCATGCTCGCGAGGGTGAAAATCGCCAACACCGCGGCTACGCGAGCCCAGTATACTCTTGGGGGAAACGTGAGGCTGTTGGTCATGTGATGATGCCGTGACAGAATGGCTACGAAGACCGGGCGCTAACTGCGGCAGCGTCGGCGCTCTTATCATGATGATGAAAGCCTCAGAGCAATTTAGGGGGACTCAGGCTGGGCTCGGTTCAGAGAGATCAAGCGTGTCTGAACAGCAACATCGAGAACCGCCGAAGGACTGCATAGACACTTCGCCCGAATCGGCCACGCTGTATTCAGTTCAGGCAGGCAACAACGAAGAAACGATCCAGCGGCTCCACTAGGAAGTTCATACCGAGAATTCTGCCCATGCACGACACAGCTTCCTTTGGCATGACGAAAAAGAGGCAAGTATCGGAACACAAACGCCTCACCCATGCTTGGAACACCTGCCCAGAAGGTTCTATCCGAAACAGAGCGGGTCCGGTCGGATCATCCACGCTGCAACGTGAAGCAAACGCAGGTAACGCACAATCAATGGCTCAGGTCTCCATTGTTCGAGAGGCGCCGGGCGACTGATGGCCAGACGCCTGTAGATGACGTGAACGGGTGAGCTGTTTCGAAGGGATGCCGACGCAGACGAATCAGCACAGGGGGGTTATCCTGGGAGCAACTTCGGTCGAAATCATTCTCGACAACAGAAACCAATTTCAGTGCCATATGGTGTCGGAGTAGAGCAGATACCTGATAATCAAGGAGACACAAGCCATCGGCCGTAGAGCCGCGTGCTGAGTGTTCACCTGCGGACCGTCCAGATTGTTCAAGGGCGTAACGGTCAAAGAAGGTTGCCATTGCTTGTGTCAAGTGCGCATCACTTCCACCAAGACAGGTAAAAACATACCAGTTACTTTGCAGCAGGATAAAAAACAAACCCTTGACGCAAGACAGTCCCATCTCACTAACCTGGGCGGCGTCAGCCATCGCGAGAGCAAGCAACCGCGACGGCATTGGGCTGCCGTATTGCCTCTTGTATTCTAGTGCCTGAAGCCGCGCCCGCTTCACCTGCAACAATGAATATTTCGATCATATGGCACGCCCGCTTCACAAAACGAGCTTTGGTGCACGCAAGTGGTTTTCTGCGTCGGATTTGGCGAGTATTCTTCAGCTCTCGACCAGCAAAGACAAACAAAGAGGATGAAAGAACGCCCGACAGACAAGAGCCTGGGCATTCATGGGGTGACGTTTTTCGTTCGTCGACATCGATTCCTTCGAGCAAAGCACCAAAACATAGGTCGACACAAACGCGTTGTCCCGTAAGATTCTGCACAGGGGGATTTTCTTCTTGAAATATGTAGAGCATGACGTACATGCCGGGTTCTCACTCAATCCGTGCTGGACACCCCAACAACGATCGTCCTTCGACGGCTTGTGACGGTTTCGTCTACTCACTCGCCACGTGCCATTGTCGCGTTCTAGGAGCAGGCGGCAAAGGATAGACGATATTCACCTGATACCGAACGTCGCCGGTCATTCCAGTGGCCGCACTGTAGATGTCGTCAGTTATCCGAAAGATGCTGGTTACAGAATCGGGGTACACTAGCTCATCCTGCTCAAAAGTGAAGCAGCAAACGCACGCGAACATTTGCGACAACGCACGAGATGTGGGTCAACAGAGACAGGATCCTTCATACTTTCATGAGGCAATGGAAATTGAGCCTTCACTCGCAGGCGAAATGTTCAGCCCGCCTGGTACGGTGGTGTTGTCCAAATTCAACCCCGCCTAGACCAGTAGCACGACACCACTTTTGCTCGCCACGCATGTATAGTACCAAATGTTGGGTAGGTCCCCTCTGTCCGGTTGAATCTGTTGCCACCAAAGTCCTCCCTTTTCGGTTGGACGGTGTGGAAGAGAAAAGTGTCATGTCAACGAGGCCATGAGGGTAAATACATAGGTGGCACGGGGGGAACACTTAACACCCTGTTCAACTACAATCAACAACCCATGCGCACAACCGTTTGATTACGTTCACCACCAACAGTAGCGAACTACAAGGTTGTTCAACCGATTAGTGTCTCTTACCAATCGATTGCTCAGCTGTTTCGGCCTGCAGTTGCCCGCCGATAACTGCTTGCACAGCTTTCTCGTACAATAGCCCTTTGTCAGACCACTACAAATAGTTACTCTTCGCTGTGCGTGTTGTCATCTACCTTCCGAATGTATGTTACACCTTCGGTAGGCCTTCCGAACGTATGAGGCCTCCAGGGGGAAGGCCGTACAGGAGTTACTCTCGTTGTCCCGTTTTCCGTCAGCGGTATGCGTACTTGCCTTGGTTTCCATGGCAAAAAAGGCCCATCCAGCTTAACGCAGAAAGGCATTATAATTCCCGCGCTTCATGATACTTGCTAGCTCCTTTCGCATACTCCGACCGCCGAGCCATCGTGTAATCTCACTCACCAACGCGTTTAAAACGACAACCAGCAACAAAGTCCAACAAACACTGCTATCAAAACGCTTGCGGTATTTTCGGTGTCACGCAAGACTTGCCGGCAAATCTCGCGTGCACGCAACGACGCAGCAACCTTCTCCATGCACCCCGACCGCTGGACAGCCATAGTGTCCCACAGCGCGCATGGCGTACTCCACTTGGTAGAGTCTGCCCTCCGGCGAGAACAGCGTCAGATCTGCATCGTACCTAGAGCGAGAGTGCAAGACAGGAGGTGCCCGAAGCGATCAGCAGCTCGACCCCGTATAAGAAGGTTCCAGCCAGACACGCGAAGGATACTTTAGCCACCTGCAGCCATTGGCAATCGGCTAAAGGGCGCGGGGGGGATCGCAGTGTCTCCTCTTCAAAAATACAGGAAACGCCTGCATATCTCAGTAGTGTTCCAAAGTCTAATTCCAGCACGAAACTACCACCGCAAAATTTACTGTCCGCCGCGGTCGCTAGTGTACAATGTTAGTTTCTGGGATCGTGGACCTTGTGATACACGGCAGACTAACGGTCCGCGATGCTCCAAACGATCTTCCTATCATCGAGATCGGTCAGCTACACGCAGGATTTTTGAAACTGCTGTGCGGTCCGATTTTGAAACGCTTCAAGCACCTTTGCTTGTGGCTAGACCTACATACGCATGGCCCCAGGCACTCAAATCGACTATGACGACGAGTAGGACATGTGAGGGAAGAGCTGCGGAGAAGTTCGCGGCCCCACACACTCATATAGGTGCCGATTCACCGTTACTGCATGCTTGAAGCGTTTCAAGATCCGACCGCACAGCAGCTTAGAAAACCGTGCTTGTAGCTTACCGATCTCGATGATAGGAAGATCGTTTGGAATATCGCGGACCGCTAGTCTGCCGTGTACCACGAGGGCTACGATCCCAGAAAATAACATTATGCACAAGCGACCGCGGCGGACGGTTGATTTGTGATGGTAGTTTCATACTAGAGTAGGATTTGGAAAACTGAGATGTGCAGGCGTTTCCTGGATTTTTGAAGAGGAGACACTGCGATCCCCCCCGCGCCCTTAAAGTCCGTAGCGTTCGCAACCCAGAGAAAACCGGCCTCGCGGCCAGAAGTGTGGTGTAAAAAAGGAGCAAGACACAGCGGGAATATAGCAGCGCAGAGAAGACACAGCGGGAATATCGCTGTCCGGGGATGCGACACAGAGCTTGTTGACAGCAAACAGACACCGGTGCGTAGTACATGATGTCGCACTGGCTCTGCTGGTAGAGCAAAATTGGTTATTGCCCACCCCTCACAGTCACGGCACCGCACACACTTGGACACGTAAGCAAGTCGAGCACGCCCGGCGCCAGGATTGCACGCTGCTGTGGCAATGTGGAGGCTGTTTTCCAAAAGCCGCCGATGTGGGACGAGCTCCTGTCCGGATGAGAAGATGCACACATGATTCTCATTATGCCGCAGCAAATGTCATGCAGCGTATCATGTTGCGGAAATGTACCAAGCTGTCTACAGCACCTCGTGCCCACATGTATCGACATCAACGTAGGCTGCGAAGTGGGTTCACGAAGACGAGACTGCCGTTCGGCTGTAGAATACCGTATATGACACAAGATAACACACCCCCTTGACCGATTTTCGAAGCTCGATTAATCAACTGCCGGAACAGTCACAGCGCCGAAAGCGGCGGCGTCGAAACCATCTTGTCGAGAGCTTTTCGAAAATGTATCGTTTGGTTCATGCATCCTCTTCGTCGTGGAGTAATCGAGCGTTGAAAATCGGTCCAGGGGGTAAGTAATCTTGTGTCATATACGGTATGTAGTCTAGGTGTCTAGGTTGTGCATTGCTCACCCTTTGCTTGACTCTCTCGCCCCTGACACCGAGCTCAACAGCATCGCACAATAGAAGAAAACAAAAACGGCTATGATGGGAGTGCCGCCATGCCGCCTTCTTCGCTCCAATCTATCCGGCCCAGCCATGGCAACGATGTTGACGTGAGAAAACCTGCTGCCTGCTGCTGTTGTGTGGGAACCTGGGGGGCACATCAGCTGAGAAATGCTAATTGCAATATTCTGAATATCCGCGAGGCGATGTGGTTCGGGAAACCGGGAGCACATGCTGCAACGCAATATTGGTCAGATCAACACCCAGACTGACGATCTGCCGAGATCAAGATGCGCTGTGCTGAACGTGTTGCGTTGTCGTGTGGAGTGATCTTGTGTGCCCTGGTTGATCCAGGGGGAAGTTTCGTGGCGGGAGGGCAACGACCTGCAGTTGCTGGAAGGGGTCGGCAGTGGGAGAAGCGTCCTCGGTGCGATGGCGTTTTGGTGCAGTCGAGCAGCAGCAGCAGCAGCAGCAGCAGCTTGGAGACCTCGACCACGTCTGATGAATATGAGGTAAGCGGAGGGGCGACGAGAGTCATCAGAGACACGGGTCGTGGTCTCCTATTGCCGAGTGTGCGTCGTGCATTGATCTACATATTGACACTGGTCGTACCCCGCGGAAGGCGTGCTTACTGCATATTTGTCAGGTGCGAATGATCATGTCAGGCTGCCATTCTGACGGTACAATTGTAGAGTAACCCGGCGCATTTGGGTCGCGCAAATAGTCCGCGTTTGGCTCAGCTGAGTGTTGCTTGTAACGATTGAAAGGACCATGCACATGGAGTTTCTGTGTTGTATTTCTCCTGGATTTTTGCAGGCCCGGGACTCGATGCTCTTGATCCCCACAACTCTACTCTATTTGAAGGCGACGTTACGTATGTATGTACAGCAGAGAGCGCCTCCACAAAAGCGTAGCAGCACCAAGCAGCACCTCTTTCTTTTGGTATCCGAGAATCCGAGCAGTCCGACGTCCTGGCAGCTTCCTATTGCTGCTGAGAAATGGTGGGATGATGATGCGACAATAGTCTGTGTTTGCTGATGGCTGTCAGTCTCCGACCTATAACATTGCTGTTGCGGTCTCTGTCTGCTTGTGATCATAGTGGTGTAAAAACATTGCTCCTGACTGTACTACCGACGTACTTCTCGTAGCATAGTCTACTTGTTGTAGTCAAGTTTGCGGACCCGTGGTAATCACAGCGCTTCCTTCTCCTTGATGTACTTATGTTTTGTGACACCTAGTCCCCTTCTGTCTTTACCTTCCGAATCCTCCGTCCGTCAAGCAGTTCTTGCGCTACAGTTAGACCCTGGGGTTACCCCCCTGCGGAGCAACAAAAAACGGCATGCTGCGAATAGCTTTTGTTTTTTTTTTTTGTTTGAAGGGGGCACACAGACAGCAGTCCTACTTACTTGAGCAAAGACAAGGAACTGGCAATCAAAAATGCGCGAAGACGGCGAGGAGATGGCTCTTCTCAATCTACAATCACCTGTAGTTATGCTATAGCTAGAGAAGTAGCGAAGCCGATTTCCGTTTGGTGGTTGAAAAATCCCGAAACGACGGAAATTTTCGGCTGTTGACGCAGCTGGTGCGAATACCGAGACGAGGGTCAAACACCGCCTTCGCTACTTCTCAGCTCTGGTTTCTGCGCACACAGCTAAAAAAAACGATCCCCGATTGACCTAGAAGCCGACGAGTGGCATTGATTACCAGATCACCTCCTATGGCTAAGGGCGGTGGTAAAAACAACGGTCGCGTCAAGTCCAAAAAAAAAAACTTCAAAAACTTCACGACTTCTCTTCTCGAGAGAGAAGGATGCACGGTTGCGGACGCAGCGACGGCTGGGCGGCACGCAAGGCTGCCGAGAAGGCCGTCTACCCTACCCTGAAGCGTAGGGCCGCTGCTACCCTCGAGAAACTCAAAAAAGCTCAGTTGGCGAAGCGTAGAGAGGCTCGAGTCCGTAAATTGGCGGAGCAGGCCGCAGAGGAGGAGCGACAACTTTTAGCGCGAGAGCGAGTCCTGCGCGCCGATCTGAAGAAGGAGCTTGGGGAGGAGCAGCGACGTAGAATCGAGGCGGAGCAACGGGCGCAAGCAGCGATCGCACGCGAGCAGGCCTCGGAGCATCAGAGGCAGCAGCAGAGGGCTGCTGATGGAGAGGCGGTGGCGAACGTCCTGACCCAGCTGGGAAACTTGCGGTTGGAGAAAAAAATGCTTCAAGATCAACAGCGCGAGATGGTTGAGATTTTTTGTCCACAAGCGGCAAGCGTGATGGCGGTGCAGCAACAGCAGCACAACGGGAATCCGCTGCTTTCCGCGAAAGACCAGCTCATCCGCATCCGGATGGAGGTAGAGCAAGCGAGGAGGGAGCTAGAGGCGGCGTCGGCGTGGGGAAAGGTTGCCGAGACGAGAAATGCTAATTTGAAGAAAAAGGTGCGTGCGTGCGTGTGTGCTTTTATTATTAGCATCGACCAGTGTGTGTGTGTCTTTGCCCTCGTGTGTTTTTGGCTTTGCTGTTCCCTTCTAGTACGACTACTTCGTATGCCTCCGAGTCCTACACGTTGATAGAACCAACATAAGCAGGACGATACCAAGAGAGGCAGGTGAAGCTGCATGCAGCTGCTATCATCGACAGACTTGGTGTTGAGAGCGAGAAAATACAGCAGGAGCAGCAGCAGCGCGCATTTTTTTTTGTATCCCGCTCTCACAACCGCCCTGCTGTTTGCCCGTTTCCCTTTTTCTTTGTTTCGGCAACAGAACGGGCGGGTCCGCCGTCGAAGCGGGCGGGTCCGCCGTCGAACCGGTGGGGTCCGCCATCTATGACCGGTCGGGCTGTGGGGTACTGGCTTTTTGTGTGTGCCAGCAGCCTCAGTGAGCGCAGTGACGGGTGTCCACCTCGCGCATTGCTGCGTGAACGCGCTTGACCATATTTGTCCAGTCTGTTCGTGTGTGTTCGTGTGTCTTTTTATTTTGATTCAAATTCCGAACGTTTTTATTGGTCCAAGAAGGAAAAGCGCAGTCTATTTGCCACGAAAAGTGCACCCGGTTTGGGACACATTTTTGGCCTCAAAATAGGGGTAACCCCAGGGTCTAACAGTCCTCCCTCTCTGCATGATCAGGTCTGCGAAAGCATGACTCCACCCCGGCTAGGTCGCAAAGCGTGGAGTTATGGTGTTTAGTCGACCCACGCGCACTTCGAAGACCCCGCTCGCATTGGGGGCCATGATCTTGTAGTAATGCAGCGTGCCAGTGAGTAGAAAACGTGTCGACATGATACAGGGTTCCTTCCACACGGTTCGGTGCATGGTTCCTTTGTTTGAGTTGGGGAGATGGCGACGTACTCGACGCGACAGTTTCATACTCGTGCGGAAAATACGGGGTTGAAGCGTTTCGGGTCCCGACAGTCTTCTCCTTCTCCCTTTTCGCCTCCCGCCTCCTCGACAACAAGGCAGACCCATGCCTCAAACGAACCTTGCCATGGAAAATAAAATGTTCGCCCTTTGGCAGTTGCTGCGTGGGGTTTCCGTGAAGAGCGCGTCAAGCGGCGAGGAGATGGACCTCCTGAGCGCGTGGGAGCCGACCCCGGGCAAGAAGACGATTGTGGCCTTCTTTACCCACACGGCTGACTTCAACTCGTGGTAAGGTAGAGATAGTGGAGTATCCAACGAACTCGAGAGTGATCCTCCAGTGAACCCTGATGAAAATGGTGTAAGCCAACACAGCCCGGGCTCGACGCAGAGGAGCATTGAGACAGGGTAGCGCCATCTCACTGGCCCAATCCCCAATGTGCCAGCCTGTGTTTGAGATCGTCTGTTTGATAAACTGATGCGCCTTAGAAGGTTATTGAGGCGTGTCATTGCAGCAGCTAGCATACTACGTAACGGGTGCCTACGTTGCCCTCCAACTGGCAGAGTGCGTGCTCCGGTGCAGGGTCGCCTTGTACCCACCCAGGTTTAGAACGGTCCTCATGGCTCCTATCGCCTCGCTCACATCGGAGGCGAGGACATGTGTTGTACCGATTGCTCTTGTTCACGAGAGAGGATTCTTCCTGTGTCAAGGTCCCTTCTACGCCGGTATACTGGTCGCTGCCTGTGTTCCTCTCACAGGGAGTACGCGCAAAAGCTTCGGCATTACTTGCCACAGATTGACGATGCAGGTGTCGGGGTAGTTGGAGTCAGCCTCGGCACCGTTGACGCTGCCAGGGACTTTTGCGCCGAAACTGGTTTCCCCCTGGACAACATGTTCATGGTGAGGCGCACTCGAACGTGATCCGCATTACCTCTAATTGGCAGTACCGTATGAAGTTGCGCAATGCGGTGACAATCCGTTGGGTCGGTGCTAGTTGTGTCACATATCACAGGTTATGGACAATTCGTTTCCATGGTCATTTCAGCACCGTTTCAAGATGCCATTAGCGTGATTTGCGCACCGAGACGCCTTTCCTCTGGACAGATGATGTTATTCTGCCACGTTCGTTGTTGTCTCTGAGACGAACTGCCATCAATTGATGCGCGCCACACGGCCGTGTTGTTCCGGCCACGCGTTTCTGTCTTCACACATTCACGTCGTTTTGCGAATTGATATATTGTGTACTCGTCGTGCAAACATTAGACCGCTTATCGGTTGAAAATGGGGTGTGCATGTTAATTACAACGGACGTACCGGTCCGTCCAATAACGTTGTTCGTCTGAGCATGGGTTGTTGTCGCTGTTCTGCCAATCGCATCGAAGAACGAGTCAATGATCGTTTCAGTGCTGGGAGCCGTTGGGCCAATGGCAAACGCACCGAACGTGGTACATATGCATACCAATATGTGACTGCTGTGCAGGATGCAACGGGACAAGCCTATTCCGCGCTCGGCTTCTCCAACGGCTTCGAACCGCGATTGCCCGGAGACAGGAAGATCAACCCGTATCTTCGACTGCTTCCAATGCTTGCTGGTATTGGGTGAGCATGCAAAAGCTTTTCACATTTCCGAATCTGTTAGGATCTATCAGTAGCTCAAAGGAAGCGACAGATCGATTTCGTGGAAGATTTGCTGGCTGTGTGTGTTCATTCAACACCTGCGTTCTAAGGAACCTTCCGCGATTGTGGGGGCACGGCACTCACAAAACAAGCGTGATATCGTCCCTTTGCCCCGTGAGGCACTCCTTGGTATGGCCGTACCCGTATGGACAGGATTGTTTTCGAGTACGTCTCTGGGAATGTTGATGGAAGTTTTTCGTCGTACAGTTTTTGCACTCATATTCGCTCCTCTGCCGCATATGGTATTCTGGTCGATCAGAGATTACGGTTTCTATGTTTGGTCGAGATGACGCCGTGTGCACGGTGTGGGCTTACGGTGTCGGGGATGCCCACAATTTTCAACCTTTCCGCTAGGCTCGGCATGCGCTCTTCGAGATCAATCTGGACCAACCTAACTATCCTGCGCGCAAAAACCTTTATGACCCGATTCAATTCAAGTGCCGGACTGCTCCTTTTCTTGCTCCGTAGTGCGTTCGGCATGCCCTTTGTTTACCGGGGAAGTTCACCCCCACCTCAAGTCATTGTGCAGGATTTCAACACTCATGATGCGCGGTATTTGATCGTTCATCACTACATTGCAGTCACACCAGTGGGTACACCCACGGGAGACATTTTCCCCTATCATTTCCGGTACAGTTTGCATTGGCTTAGTTTACCCGGGATTCATGGTGAGAACTGTCCTCTCCCAGGCACCCCGCGACTTGCGCAAATCGCGACATGTCTTTGCGATGAGCGCTTCTGAGGCGACCCCCCAAGGCAATGATGCGTTTGGTGCTGTCGTTACTTGATGTTCTCACGGATTTCGGCGTCCAACGTCTACCCTGCCGTGGAATCCCAACCCACCCCGGCGTCTCTGCAGGTCGCCTGGCACTATCCAAGCGGTGAGTTCGGTGCTGTTGCCGACCCTGCCCTGTGCTAGTGCCGTGTTGACCAGTGTTCCATAGTGATCCACACGAAGCTACGCAACCGCGCGAGCGCGGACTCAAGAGTCGCAGTGATCTGCTTTAAGCCTCGGCAAACGCGCTGCGAGTTCCCATGACTCTATACGGCGTCCAATTGTTGTCGTGCAAGGTGATTGATTGTCGATGTTATGTTGACCGCTATAAGAAGCTGTTTTCGGGTACAATATTACGTAAACGACAAGACCTGTCAACACTGCACCGATGCACGTGCCCTGGTGAATGCGTCCCTGCTATAGGGGCGTCCGCCTTTGTGTACACATCGTACCTCGGCATGTTGACAGTCGCTGACTGGGGTGGGACGGTTTTGAAGGGCTGCAAGCTCTCGCTTGTGCAACGCGGACCGCGACCCTAGACCATTCGACACGGAAAGAACGTTCGATCACCAGACGGGATCCTCCACGTTTGCGTGCCTGTCCCAGGTTTTGAAGGGGTATGTAGGAGATCCCAACTCGAACGCGGACTGGATTTCGAGCGCTTTGAGCATGGTCGACAACAAGGTATTCCACACGGAGGACCAACACAGGACCATACCGCTCAATCGTTCTCAGCCAATCGGATGTACAAATTTAGTTGTACGTCCTCCCCGATTTGGGTCGTGATACGCCCCAACCAAGTCCACCGCATCGCAGAGAGCTAGTGGCGTGCGGTAAAATCCTATCAGTTGTCGCTCCGGCGGCGACTCGGCAGCACTTGCACGTATGCTGTTCTTTGCTCGCGCGAAACTTTGGTTTGTCGCGAAAATGCCATCACTCGTTGCATCGTTCTTTTTTTTCTGCTCGGTCGAACGTACATGTTTGCTTTCGTGGAAACCCGAGTGCGCAGAAGCGGAGGCCCGTGTGCGGTGTCTACGACATACCACGATACCTCAGAAATATCACCATATCATGCGTTGTAAGCTGGATGTAGGGCTGATATTTTCTCTTGGCGAATGGCAAGGCTCTCTCGGAATCGTTTTTCTCCTGATTATGCACTCAATATCGCTTCCCGACTAGAGCGGTGGACTGACGTTCTCCCAGAGGCTAGAAATTCCTTGTGGGTAGTTACACCCGGTTGTTCCCTCTTGTCCCCGTTCGTCCTGCTCCTAAGGAGTTCGACTTCCTTGGGACGCGTGGTTCCAGACCCCTTGAGGTCGCCACCTTACGGCTGCAGAACATGCGCCAGATCGTCACCAAGTGGAATAAGCTTGCCCCCCCGGACAAAGAGCTGATCACTCAACAAGGAGGGACCGTCGTTTTCGAGGGCAGGAACAAGATTTACAGTTACAAGGACAAGGTAAGTCTGTTTGCTGCTTTCGTTGCTCTCGGCTCGACGTTCCCCACGCACAGAAATTCAACTGTGTTGATCTCACTTTTACCGACTCCTTGAACCAACAAAAGTTTCTGCAAACATCTATTGTGGCATGGTGCGGTGCAGACACTAGTTGACGTTAAACGCCCGATACGGGTTACCATGCAACGCTCCCTGGTACCGTTTGCATGCGTGGGGGATGTTGCCTTCTCAAAGCCATCACATTTGTCTTAGGCCGGTATTCCTTCATCTGTAACCATAAACAACGCAGTGTCAATTTTCCACCCCCTGTGAACGGCGTTGGATCCAATCGTCTTGATGGGCGGGATCCTCTTGTTTCGACGTCTGCGTTCCGGCCACCCCGTTTCTTGCTGCATCACGTTACAACAACCTACGTTACTCGCGCCTTGACAATCGAGGACACGTGAAGTGTGTACAGCATAATCATCTTAATTCGTGTAAGCCGGCCGATATGAGGTACCAACGATCTTCGGGACATTACGTGTTATCATTCCCTGTCCTTCACTAGCACGGCGTATACGTCAACCGGTGCCCGGCATCCTCTTGTTCGCTCGTCCGAACGCCACGTTCCCCTTTCTCACCTCACCAACCGATAGCTCACCATATCGCCGGTATACCCAACTGTATGCGTCACACAGGGAATCCTTGTCTACACGGACGTCCTCGAAATGCTCAAGACAATCGGCGTGAAGTTGTAGTGTCCTGCGTTCACCGTTATTATTGTGGCGGTAACTTGGTTGGAACCCCACCAACACTGGCTCTTCACGAACGCGGCGTTGGTGTGCTTTTGGCCTCCCGCTATGTAACTAAGCGCTCGAAACAAGTGGCGGCCAGGCGATAATTAGGCAATTTCCAAGCAGGAGCTCAAGGATCGTTTGTGCGGATTTGAAACAGTCTGAATCAACTCCTGCCCAGCTGGATGGGCCGATGACAGATCGGGTAGTCTTGTGGTAAGAGGTTGTGTTTTCCACATGTAACGGTTGATGGTGCCAGACGATCTTCCGTGTTGCAGACCGCACCACCTTTCTGCCACTTTGGTGACACCGAGATCTTGCTGCGTGGGTCCGGAGCGCCCTTCGTCGAGACTTCGAGCGTTTCCATTTGAGGTGCACACCAATACCCGGGTAAGGCTTTCGATGGGGCCACATGTTTGCCTCTCTCCTTCTCATGACAGCAACGAATTCAAGGAAAGGAAATCGGATATATGTGCTGCTTGTTTTGTACGGAGATTGTTCGTTCTGAGAACCTCGTGGGCTTCCCAATCCACCTGAATCTCGACGGGGTATCTCCTGTATCGTTCGAGAGAACCGTGTGTGGAACGCCGCAGAGTCAGACGGTATTTAGATGGTGGTTGGTCGAGTGCCGAATAATGATGCGAGGGGAAAAACAGTAAACCCGTCTTAATTGGAACGGCAACGTCGAGAGCATAAGCGAAAGAAGCGCGCTGGCTTCGTACACGCGGAGACGGTTTTGAGAGTGGTTGACTCGGAAAGGGTAAGTCAATGTGTTACCGCCCGCAACGTGGTACGGGGAGTTGCGAATCACAATTTGCTCGTGTGGGGTGGGACTTTGGACTCCGTCATGGATCCGGAACTTGCGTACAAGTGTCTTGAACCACTC